ATATATATATATATATATATATATATATATATATATATATATATATATATATATATATATATATATATATTCGAGCGAGGTCGAACTTGGAGTTTGCAGTGAAAAAAAAATTTAGTAAGTAGAAGAAGAAAATGTACGACGAAGACCGATAGCTACAATGGCGTTATTAAGGTCAAACTTTTCCTTTTGCAATGGCCTTCCGTCATAGGGATATTATTTTGAGCTGGTCGAAAAGTTAACCCATTGCAATTCGATCGAAGTCAAATTCTTTTCTTTAGCGACGGTCTTTGGCCGTAGGGGTGTTATTTCAAGCTGACATTGAAATGTTAACCCATCGTTATTCGAGCGAGGTCGAATTCTTGTTTATGGCGATGGCTCTTGGCCGTAGGGGTGTTATTTCGAGCTGTCATCGACATGTTAACCCATTACAATTCGAGCGAGGTCGAACTCTTCTTTTTCCGTGATAGCCCTTGGCCGTAGGGGTGTTATTTCGAGCTGTCGTCGAAATGTTAACCCGTCCTAGTTCGAGCGATGTCAAACTCTTTTCTTTTTTGGCGATGGCCCTTGGCCGTATGGGTGTTATTTCGAGCTAGCGTTGAAATGTTAACCCGTTGTAGTTCGAGCGATGTGGAACTCTTTTCTTTTGCGGCGATGGCCCTTGGCCGTAGGGGTGTTATTTCGAGCTGTCGTCGAAACGTTAACCGCTCGTATTTCGAGCGATGTCAAACTCTTTTCTTTTTTAGCGATGGCCCTTGGCCGTAGGGGTGTTATTTCGAGTTTTCGTCAAAATGTTAACCCATCGTTATTCGAGCGAGGTCGAATTCTTCTTTTTTAGCGATGGCCCTTGGCCATATGGGTGTTATTTCGAGCTGTCATTGAAATGTTAACCCGTCGTAGTTCGAGCGATGTCAAAGTCTTTTCTTTTTTAGCGATGGCCCTTGGCCGTAAGGGTGTTATTTCGAGCTGTCGTCGAAATGTTAACCCGTCGTTATTCGAGCGAGGTCGAATTCTTCTTTTTTAGCGATGGCCTTTGGCCGTAGGGGTGTTATTTCGAGCTATCGTCGAAATGTTAACACGTCGTAGTTTGAGCGATGTCGAACTCTTCTTTTTTGGCGATGATCTTGGCCGTAGGGGTGTTATTTTGAGTTGTCGTCGAAATGTTAACCCGTCATAGTTCGAGTGATGTCGAACTCTTTTCTTTTTTGGCGATGGCCCTTGGCCGTAGGGGTGTTATTTCGAGCTGTCGTCGAAATGTTAACCCGTCGTATTTCGAGCGATGTCGAACTCTTTTCTTTTTTGGCGATGGCTCTTGGCCTTAGGGGTGTTATTTCGAGTTGTCATCGATATGTTAACCCGTTGTAGTTCGAGCAATGTCGAACTCTTTTCTTTTTTGGCGATGGCCCTTGACCGTAGGGGTATTATTTCGAGTTGTCGTCGAAATGTTAACCTATCGTTATTCGAGCGAGGTCGAATTCTTCTTTTTTGGCGATGGCCCTTGGCTGTAGGGGTGTTATTTCAAGTTGTCGTCGAAATGTTAACTCGTCATAGTTCGAGCGATGTCGAACTCTTTTCTTTTTTGGAGATGGCCCTTGGCCGTAGCGGTGTTATTTCGAGCTGTCGTCGAAATGTTAACCCGTCGTTATTCGAGCGAGGTCTAATTCTTCTTTTTTGGCGATGGCCCTTGGCCGTAGGGGTGTTATTTCGGCTGGCGTCGCAATGTTAACCCGTCGTAGTTTCGAGCGATTGTCGAACTCTTCTTTTTTGGCGAATGGCTGTTGGCCGTAGGGGTGTTATTTTCGAGCATGTCGTCGAATATGTTAACCGTCGTGAGTCCAAGTTTTTGGAGAGTTTTGGGTGTCCTTTGGGGAGTTCCAGTTCGCTTACTTGTGTGTTTCCTTGGGTGAAGTCCCAGTTTTGCTTATTTGTCTTGTATTGGAGAGTGTGATGTCGGAGAGTATTGAACGTTGCTATTCTGCTAATGTTCTCCTTTTATGCATATATTGGAATTCCACCTGTTTAACCCCTCATCGTTCGGCCTGGCGAGAGCTCGCCGATAGACGGGCGATTGAACATGTCCTTTGAACTTTGGTGACATCTCCCTTATTGCCTCGTTCAAAACCTCCCCGAGAGAACCCAAATCGGACACATCTAGGTGAGGAGAGGAGTACGACTTAAGACATTCTTTTCCATAAGTGAAATGTTTTGATATGGGCGAATATTTCAATTATTTTGTTAATAGTTCTCCACTCCACCTTAGAATGCTTTTTTAAGCTCGCTTGCCATGTGGCACTTGTTTTGTTTAAGCAACAAAAAGGTAAACCAAAGATGAGATTTTCCTTACCTCGATCCGAATGAGTGATGAACTTAGGTTAGCGCTCTATAGCGTTGTTCGCTCTGCCTTGGTGTTTAGTGTTGATGGAATGGTGGTTTGTGGATTCGCTCGTATCCGTTTGCCTTGTTTTCTTCCTCGCTTTTTTTTCTAACATGCCTGGCTCTTGCCTGCGTTTGGGTTTGCCTTAGCTTCGTTCGTGTGGTCATCGGTGTGTGATATCGCGTACGTGCAGGTTCTCCCATAAGATGTGTCTCATTCTCTTATGGGATTCCGCAACAGGCGTGTTTCTCTTTGCAAGGCTGCGTGGATATTGTGTTGTTAACTTGCTTCTATGTAGCATCATGGTCTGATTAAGGCATGTGATGGTTTTACTACCCTCTTTCTGGTGGTGATTTGTTTTCACCTTGTTTGGACTCTGAAGAACTAGGAATTGGCTAGAGAATCCCCACAGCGGCACCAAATTGTTTGACCAAAGATTGCTAAAACTTTTTTGATTAAATCAATTAATAGATAATGAGGGGTAAATCTTAGTCAAGGCATACATCACTCCAGATCTAAAATGTATAGCACTACAACTAATAAAGTAAGAACAATCAATATTTTGATGTTAAATTCTCTCTTTTGATGAGATAAGAGAAAAATCAGTTTACATCCTTCCAGAGGAGGAAATATTGCAAGAGCAGAACGACCCAGAAAGTCCAGCCCCCCTTCTATATATATATTCTGGAGCTTTACTGTGTTCTTTGACAACGTTTCTTGTCACTGACGGTCTTTTCGTTGTTATTCGAGCACCATTTTTTACTGGACCATACACTGTCGCATGATTGGACTGAGGTTGGTCGTCGGTTATTTCTCGCCATTTTCGCCACTTAGCGAGATCCCAGCTGGTCGGCTTTGTGGGTAGATTTTGACCCATCAGTTAGTACTCCTATTTACTAACATGCTTAATTTATATCACTGATAGTATTAATGTAGTTTACGGCTATAAGTTAGATTAGATCCTAGTTTTTAATTTACACAAATTGGGTAAAAAAACATCTTATTTACTGAAAATGTTGATTGGCAGAGTCAAGAGTGCAATGTAATCTAGAATTTTACAATATGGCTTTGTTGCAGATGAAAACTTATCTGGGGTTGCAATTGGAGCCACTGTTTCTCTTGATATATTGTTCTCCGGGTATTAGTTTACTTTTCATTTCAAGTTCATTTTTTGTGGATAAATGGAAACTAACTTCTTTTAGGGGTATTATCACTTTTAACTGCGTATAAACATTTATATTCGATAACCGAAAAGTGTATAAAATTTGTGTATATAATTATATATATATATATATATATATATTAATATATATATATATATATATATATATTGCGCTACTTTGATTGGGATTCTAAATCAAACACATACCCTATTAAATTAGGGTCTAAAATGACGAATATTCATTATTTTCAAAAACTTTTATAACTTGCATGTATTTTTTTTTATAATACATATGTGATTTTTTAATTTATTGATATGGGTTATAAACGCGTGTGTTCAAGATTCCTGGTCATGAAAGAGCAACTAAAACAAACATAAGTACCATACACTGGGAATATCGTTTATAAGGAGTACTAGGTCATGAGATACACTTCATTACAATTACATGTTTTACCTCAAAAAATCAAAATATGTAAAAAGAATCACACTTGTCTAATTATACTTTGATTGTGCATATTTGTAGGTTCACTTGATATTTAATCATTTTGATCTCGAAGAACAAATTACGATCAACCCATCCAAATTAATCAATCAGAAAAATTTGAACATTATTCTTTCATGTTTAATTATTTACTCAAGATTTTATTTTAGTACTATTGAAAATATATATTTTAGAACCACATACAACTCCATGCTAAAAAGTTAAATTACCAATATACCCTTTTAAAAACAATAATAACAATAATTAAATAAATGCCTACAGAAATATTAATTAATATTGTGCCTTTTCTAAATAGTTGTGTCCCTTCATTGTTAACCACCAACTTTTAAACTAAAGACACACTTTTCCAATACATTCCCGCGAATTTTATCAAGATAAACATGAGTGTGCCATGAACAAGTTTCCTCCGATTTTGTGTGCTTTCATTTCTGAATTTGAATGCACTCAATTTATTGTCACGACCCGGATTTTTCACCCTCGGGGGTCGTGATGGCGCCTACTATTGGGAGTTAGGCAAGCCAAATATTTATTACTTTATCATTAACCAATTTACCTCTTTTAGCAATTATCAGCATTTATATAAAAGCAACAAAATTAAATAATAAGCGGAAAGTCTTAAATTATAGAAAAACTGAACAAAAATGCAGAAATTTCAACATAAGCCTCTACCCAAGACTGGTGTCACAATACTCATGAACTACTAAGAATAGTAAATACAATCGTCTGAAAGAGAACATAAACTGTTTGTCTCGAATACAATGAGATAACAGACAAAAATAAAGGATAGAGGAGACGTCGGGCCTGCGGACGCCTGCAGGGCTACCTCGATGTCTCGCTGGACTGAAGGTCTGCTCCCACATTACTGCTGCTGCTGTCCGAAACCTGGATCTGTGCAAAATAGCACAGAGTGTACTATCAGCACAACTGACCCCATGTGTTGGTAAGTGCCTAGCCTAACCCCGGCGAAGTAGTGACGAGGCTAGACCGGACTATCACATAAACCTGTGCAATTATATATACATATACAGCGGAGTCGAAATACAGAGACAAGAAATCAATATGGGAAGGGGGAGCATGCTAAGGGGAAATAACAATTTCAAGTAAATTCGTCCAGCAACAAAGAAATTAACACAACTCAGACATTAATAAAGAGACAGGAAGCAACACCGCTTTTTCGCATAACTTCAGCATACGGGGCTGAAGTAGCAAAGGCAATCACACAAAACTTCAGCATTCTAGTAGCTAGGCCTGAAATTCAGCTCTAGAGCTGAAGTTTTTATTTTGTAACTTGCAAACTTCAGCTCTAGAGTTTTTGTTTTGTAACTGGCGAACTTCAGCTCTAGAGCTGAAGTTTTGTTTTGTAACTGTCGAACTTCAGTTGAAGTTTTGTTTTGTAACTGTCGAACTNACTCTTTCCTCACAATAAACAAACAAGGCACGACATCACCCTTCGTGCTTTAACACTCTTCCTCACCCCAAACAACAATCACAAACAAGGGGGCAAGGGAATGAACAAAATAAGAAAAGAAATCCCGGCAAGGGAGCACAATTAAACAATTAAATCCCGGCAAGGGTACAACATCAATAATCTCAACGTCCCGGCAAGGGAAAATAATCAATAAACAACAATATCCCGGCAAGGGAACAATTTAAATACTCTTTCTCTTCCTTCCACTTTTATTTCATATTTCATTTTACCACTTGAGCCAATGCTCCAAAGGGTTCAACCATTTCATAGATATTCACAATTGGAACATAACTTGAGCCAATGCTCCTCGTTGTTCATAGGTCACAATTTCCTTTCACAAGCTTTCTCACAACAAATAGGAATCATCACTAAAGCAAGGGAAATACAACGATCAAAATATTCACAATTTAAAGACCCACGGTCATGCTAGACATCAACGTATAGATACTCGTCACCCTGCCTATACGCCGTACTCAACAAGAAGCAATTAGCAAATAAGACTCAACTCCTAGTCCCTCAAGCTAGGGTTAAACCAAACACTTACCTCAACTTCCACGTCCAAATCAATTCACAACAACCGCTTTTCCTCTCGAATTCGGCTCCAACTCAATCAAATCTATACAATAATGACTTCATAATATCAATATATTCTAAACAAATCAAACCCAATGCCTAATTATAGATTTCCAAGCTTTCTTTCCAAAATCCCAAAAATTGACCCCGGGCCCGCTTGGTCAAAATACGAGGTTCGGACCAAGTTCATATCCCCCATTCACCCACGAGCCCGAATATATAATTTGTTTTCAAATTCAACCCCAAAACGAGGTCTAAATCAAGAAAATTCAAAAAGCCCTAACTCTACCCATTTCCCCCAATTTCTACCCTAATTTACATGTTTTAGGCTTAGGAATTTAATAGATATTGATGAAAAATGGAGAAAACGAGTTGAACAATGCTTACCCAAGCAATTTTGGTGAAGAAATGCTTCAAAAGTTGTCTAGAAGCTTTGGAGAAGAAAGGGTTTATGAAAAATTTGATAACTCCCGTAATGGTTCTGTTTTGGGTTTTTTAAAATAACTGGGCAAATTAACCTTACGCGTTGCGAGGGGACCTTCGCGTTCGCGATGGGTCGGGCTAATTGGTCTACGCGTTCGCGTATAGCAGCTCGCGTTCGCGGAGAGTAGTTCTCCAGGAGCCTCGCGTTCGCGTCCTAGATGCCGCGTTCGCGGTGAAGAAGCTGGTGACCCCATCCCCTGAACCCTATGCGTTCGCGTTTGTTGGGTCGCGTTCGCGAAGGGTACCCCCCCCCTGAAGCTTCGCGTTCACGTCTCCAGCTTCGCGTTCGCGAAGAGGAAGCTTGGGCACCTGGGAGATTTGTCTTACGCGTTCACGAGTGTGCCTACGCGAACGCGAAGAACAAAACCCCTGGGCACTGAACAACAGAAACCTGCAATTTCTATAAGTCTAAAACCACTCCGAAACACCTCTGAAACATTACCGAGCCCTCGGGACTCCTAACCAATCACATACACTAACTCAACAACATTCTACGAACTTACCCGTGCGATCAAATCGCCAAAATAACATCATATACATCGAATTAAGCCTCAAAATCCATAATTTCTTCCAAATTTCATAAAACATCAAATTTTTCATTTTAAGTCTGAAACACGTCAAACGATGTCCGTTTTCAACCAAACTTTACAGAAAGTGCTTAAATCATATATAAGACCTGTACCGGGCGCCGGAACAAAAATACGGGCCCGATACCAACATTTTCTAACCAATTTTCATATCAATCTTCCTTAGTAATTTCAGAAAAATAATTTTACTCAAAAATTCATTTCTCGAGTTTGGGACCTCGGAATTCGATTCCGGGCGTACGCCCAGATCCCATATTTTCCTACGGACCCTCCGGGACCGTCGAATTACGGGTCCGGGTCCATTTATCCAAAATATTGACCAAAGTCAAATTTACTCATTTTAATATCAAATTTTAGCATTTATCACAGAATTTTATATTTAAGCTTTCAGGCTACGCGCCCGGACTGCGCACACAAATCGAGGCGACTACAAATGAGGTTTTCAATGCCTCTAAAGCACGGAATGAGTAAGAAAATAGGTGATGACCCTTTAGGTCGTCACATTTATGTAGCGGGGAAGTGCCAAATATTTTTATTCAAAATTGGATGGATCGAGGTATTCTAGCAACAATGTATCTTTAGTTACAACTTAATGTCTCCGAGATATATAATTGAAATGCTACTGAGTTTCCATTCTTGTCTTTTTTTTCTTAACTTTTATTATTGTAATATTTGTGGTACTATATAATCATTTGAATTCTTCTATCTCTTGGGCTAACAATATAAAATGCATGAATAAAAGTGAGTGTAGGCATTGTTCCTGAAAGTCGCCATATAAGTCTCAATGTTTTACCCAAATAATAATTTTGATAATGAAAATGTCATGGACATTCTAAGCGATGAATAAAGAAAAAAAAATATGTACGAGAGAAGTTATATGATTTTAACAGTAACAAATTCTCCAAGCCAATACCCAAGAAGAAAGTAACAAATAATTTTTAGTATGTTTATGTTTGCAAATATAACAAATAAAGCACAAGGACAAACATTCTAAATATTGAACTATTTTTACCGCATATGTTTACTTGCACGAACAACTGTATATTGCACTTTCAAGAGGGATATCGAGATCGGCAACAAGAATTTTGGTTAAGGCAGAGCAACCGAAGCATTAGGAAGAAATGCACATAAAAAAATATTGTCCACGAAGAAGTGCTCATATAGATACCATCACATTAAATACTTTTAAACTATAATACATAATTATCTAACTAACATGACAAAAATGATCATTTGTGTAAGTTTTGATGATGTCCTTTTATTTTAAATTCATGTATTATGCTAATGTAATAATATTTTTCGGCATTTAAATGATTGTTGTACTATTATACATGAAATTTCTCTCATTAATTAATTTTTTTGTTCCTTCATATAAATAAATATTTAAATCATCATGTGTTATTATTAATGTGCAACGCACGTTTGTAGATACTAATATACAAAAATATATATTTATTTCGGCTATTATTTTTAGAGCGGCAATATAGTGTCATTTTTCCGTTTTTGGTTTTTTTAATCCATTTTGTCACCACTCACAGGCCACTAACAGGGCCTGTGAGTTTGGGACCAGCATTTGTTACAGGTCATTACAAAGGGCTATGGATTTACATTATAGGGCCAATTTTAGGGGCCATATTTGGTGCTTGGTCTTACAATCTTATGAGACTCACAAATAAGTCATGGTATGAAAAATAAAACTATTTACTTTCGAAAAAAGAATATTTGATTAGCTAATCTTTTGATTTTTCTTATGAAGGGGTGAAGCTGTGAAAGAGATTTCAGATTCACAAAAAATTATAGAAGAGTCCTCAAAAGATAAGGTTATATGCAAGTGTAGTGAAGGGTGGACATGTATTGTAACCAAAACTGAAGAACCAGAAGCAGGCAACATCTTTTTTGATTGTGGTGATGAAGGTTGTCTGTGTATTATTGATGAAACAAACACTCTGAAAAAGCATGTATATGTATATGATAAGACAAAAAGGAGAAAGAGCTACAAAATGTATATTTAAGGGCAACCAATTATATATTTATGCAATCAAGCTGCTTAAAATGTAACAGCAAGTAATTGTTTATAATAAGCAATCATTTGTAAGTGTCACGATCCTAGTTCTCCCTCCGTGAACCTGTCGTGACGGCACCTAGTCTCTACGACTAGGTAAGCCTAACATTTACGGATAAAGGAACAAAATATGAAAACTAACAACTGAAAATAAATTTAGACAAGGAAATGCGATGCCGCTCGGCATATACAATAATCACTCTCGAACTGGACATGAAAGCTCCCAAAACCCAAAATATCATGAGTCACAAGCTACAGAAGTAAATAATACTCCTAAACTCCAGAAACTATCGACGAAGAAAAATACAAGAAAGTCTTTAACTGAAGGAAGAGTAGATAGGGACTCCTAGGTCTGCGGACGCGGCAGATATACCTCGAAACGCGTCACTGGAAATGTGGCTGGAAAGAGGTACCTGGATCTGCACACGAAAAACATGTGCAGGAAAGGGCATGAATACACCACAGCGGTGCCCAGTAAGTGCCAAGCCTAACCTCGGTCGAGTAGTGACTAGATCAGGTCAGGGCCCTAATGGTATAATATATAATAAAATAATACAGTGTGAGATATCGCAGTAAAGAAAAATACTAACATTAAACGAGAATGAAATCACAGAAAAACAACAACCCAGTACACAGAGATAGCAACAGGGGATCTCCCGGGATACCGTCCCGTAGTCCCGAACGTAAATGTACAGGTGATCTCCCGGGATACCATCCCGTAGTCCCAAACATAAATGTGCAGGGGGATCTCCCGGAATACCGTTCCGTAGTCCCAAAATAAATATCCAGTACAGGGGAATCTCCTAGGATACCGTCCCCGTAGTCCCAAACATAAACGTGCAGGGGGATCTCCCGGAATACTGTTCTGTAGTTCCAAAGTAAATATGCAACTCAATCAACATAAACAACAATTTCAGCAAGGAATTCTACAGTTTAGACTAAGTTCATATCAAAGAAGACAGATAATTTTCACTAAACATGTTGCACAGAGTTCAGATAGGCAGTTAAGACAGTTAAGGCACGTAGGCATGCTTTCCTAAGCTAAACAGGATAGTTACATATACTAGTGTTGCTCAATTAAAAGAAAAATAGATATTTGCTTAATGAAATGGGGTTTTTCAACAAATAGCCCGTGTACGCTCTCGTCACCTCACGTACACGGCGCTCATATATCAACAGTACCAAATCCTAAGGGGAGTTCCCCCACACAAGGTTAGGAAAAACACTTACCTCGGACCAAGCTCAAATCAATCTGTAATCACGCTCTTGCCACGAGTATCCAACTTCGAGTGCCCCAAATCTAATCAAATCAATTACGTAACGTAAATATAGCTACAAGAAACTAATTAGCTAATGAAATTAAAGCTAAGGCAAGAAAATAGAAAAATGCCCAAAAATCTACCCCGGACCCACGTCTCGGAATCGGGTAAAAGTCACAAATTATGAACACCCATTCACTCACGAGATCACTCGTGCAAAAATCATCCAAATACGACGCCTAAATCCCACTAAAATCTCAGATTTTTGGTTGGGGAACCTTTCCCCCAATTTCCCAACTTCCTCACTCCAATTCCTTAATTTAACGAAGAAAACAACTATGAATTAATGAAGTATGATCAAAATAGGATTAGGAATCGTTACCCAATGATTTCCTCTGAAAAACTCTTGAAAAATCGCCTACCACCGAGCTCCAGATCGAATTTTATGATATGAAATTCAAACCCTCGAAAATTCCCTTTTCTGCCCAGCGATTTCCGCTTCTGCGAGGGGTCCACCGCATCTGCAGTCCCACACCTGCGGAAAATCCATCGCAGGTGTGGACTTAACTTAAGTCCTCAAAAATTGCTTCTGCGGTCAAGGGCCGCTTCTGCGCGCCCGCTTCTGCGCCTTTTCTCTGCTCCTGCAAGTCCACTTCTGCGAGACTCTGATCTCTAATGCGGCCCCAGCTGGGCAAGCCAAATTCCGCTTCTGCGGCTCCGCACCTGCAGTCCAAAATGCGCAGGTGCGAAAACAACAGGTGCAGCAACTTCAGCAAATTTGCATAAGTCCCAAACTAATCTGTTAAACACCCGAAACTCACCCGAGACCCCTCGGGACCTCAACCAAACATACCAAACAATCCTAAAACATCATACGAACTTAGTCGAGCCCTCAAATCACATCAAACAACGCTAAAAACACAAATCACCTTCCAATCCAAACTTAATGAACTTGAAACTTCAAAATTCTACAACGATGCCGAAACCAACCAAACCACGTCCGGTTAACCCCAAATTTTGCACACAAGTCATATTCAACACTACGGACCTACTCCAACTTCCGGAATTGGATTCCGACGCTGATATAAAAAATTCCACTACCGCCTCGAAACTCCAAAAATTCAACTTTTGCCATTTCAAGTTAAATGAGCTACGGACCTCCAAAACACAATCGGAACACGCCCTTAAGCCTAAAATCACCCAACAGAGCTAACAAAATCGACGAAACTCCATACCGGAGCTGTCTTCACACTATTCCGACTACGGTCCAAATTCTAAGACTTAAGCTCTTATTTAGGGACTAAGTGTCCCAAAACACTCCGAAACTCAAAACGAATAATCCTCGCAAGTCACAATAGTAGAAAAAGATACGGGGGAAGCAGTTAATAGGGGATCAGGGCATTAATTCTCAAATCGACCGGTCGGGCCGTTACATCCTCCCCCTCTTAAAACATTAGTTCTTCCTCGAACGAGTATAGAGACATACCTAAAGTGGTGAAAAGATGAGGATAACGGCTGCGCATATCCTGCTTGGTCTCCCAAGTCGCGTCCTTGACCGGCTGACCCCGCCACTGAACCTTCACAGATGCAATGCTCTTTGACCTCAGCTTCCGAACCTGCCTGTCCAATATAGCCACTGGCTCCTCAACATAAGATAGATCCTTGTCCAACTGGACTGAGCTGAAATCCAATACGTGAGACGGATCACCGTGATACCTCCGGAGCATCGAAACATGAAATACCGGATGAAGTCCTGCCAAGATGGGAGGTAAGGTAAGCTCATAAGCAACCTCCCGAACACGCTGCAACACCTCAAAGGGACCAATAAACCTTGGGCTCAACGTGCCCCTCTTCCGAATCTCATAATGCCCTTTATAGGCGAAACCCGAAGAAAGACCCGCTCTCCAACCATAAATGAAACATCGCGAACCTTCCAGTCCGCATAACTCTTCTGTCTAGACTGGGTTATGCAAAGTCTATCCTGAATCACTTTAACTTTCTCCAAAGCGTCCTAAACCAAGTCTGTGCCAATAATTTAGCCTCGCCCGGCTCGAACCAACCCACTAGGGACCGACAGCGCCTACCATACAAAGCCTCATACGGTGCCATCTGAATGCTGGACTGATAACTGTTGTTGTAGGCAAACTCCACAAGTGGAAGAACTGATCCCAAGAACCTCCAAACTCCATCACACACGCACGGAGCATATCCTCAAGAATCTGAATACGCGTGGATCTAGAATTGTATTACTCTTTACATCCTCATATTTACATGCACTAGAATCTTCACATGTAACATTATCTACTTCATCGCATGGATCTAGTGTACTTTTCTCAACATGGGCATCATCAACAAACATATGCTCGAATGATTGACTCTCCACTTTTAGCTCCTCAATTTGGCGTATAAGCTCCTTTTCAACTTCAAATAACTCATTACTATTTTGTTGGGCGTTAGACGCATCAACCTTTGCATTCAATTGAGCCCCCAAGTCGTGAATAGCAAATGCCAAATTTTTCGATCTCTTGTCCCAGTTCAGCTATTCCTTCTATTAAGTCTTTTATCCCATCTGTAGTTTTCTCACGTTGAGCCTCATATATTTCCAATCTTTCAGCTTGTTCCACCAGCCAAGTTTGACTCATAATCTCCTCTTTTTCAAAATTTTCCTCTTGCTGGTACTCGCTCTCTTCATTCAGTTCTTCCATATTGGCCTTCATTCTTGTGATTGCTGCCCTCATTCTTTTCATATCCTTTTTGAGTTCATCCTATTGCTCTTCTACTTGCCTCAGAATACACCTAACATATGCATCACATTCCATATCCTGCACTTCATTGCCCCTATCAAACTCACAAACACTGTTAGCAAGATCATAATAAGGGCTCAGAGAAGGATGAAAAGAATTAGGACAACCATCCCAATGGCCATCCTGACCACCACACATAGTACAAATATTCCACTCAAAGGATTGAGATTGTGTGCACAACTCGCTCCCAGGAATATTCTAACAATTTTTCCACCAGTGGGGTCCTCCACAATATGGACAAGGATCATCAAAGTAAGAATAATCATCATTCAAATATTTTTCATTCCAAGATGTCATGTCAAAATTAAAAAAAAAATACTAACTAAATAAAAACATTAAAAACTTGAACAAAAATCAACTAAAAGCTAAACTTAGATAAACAATCAATAACTAAGTCCCCGGCAACAGCACCAAAAACTTGTTGAGACCAAACACACACCCAAGTATACTTGGTCGTCAAGTAATAAAGTGACTCGAAAGTCGGATGTCGAACCCACAAAGACTTAGATTGATTATTAACTAAGTAAACTAAAATAAATTAATTGTCCAAGATATTTAAGAGTGATATTTTTCTATTAATCTACTATTGCGGAAACTAAACAAATAACAACTAAATTATCAAGAATGCGATTTTGTATGACAAGATTTTACTTCAAAAGAGATGGAAATTCCAGGGTTGTGGTTGGTCTATCAACCCTATTAAGTTTAATAACCAAACTCGTTGATCCAGATTATCTATGGTTGCTAATTAACCGGATCTTTTATATGAATAGCATGTTCCCACAATACTACTCGCCTGCCCACAATATATCAATCCTATATTCCTATGGTATTGAATCTATCATGAACGAATATAATACTGTATTTAATTAAGCAAGATTGTTAGG